ACTCATTCATAAACATTCACACACGGATGCACAGCATCAGGAGCAATTCGGGGTTCAGTATCTTGCTCAAGGATACTTGGATACATTTGGCGGGAGGAGACTGGGATCGAACCACCAACCTTCCGATTAGTGGACGACCCGCTCTTCCTCTGAACCACAGCCGCCCCATTACTCCTGGGTGTGATTATGATGAGGATGATGATCCAGGGAGAAAGGGTCATTCATTTTAGTTGAGGCTTCTCTGTGTTCTAGCCCCACTGCAGTCATCACCCATTTTTCCACTTCAGGATGAAAATCACCTTTTCAGACTTCACCTCCACACCCCACACTAGCACATATTGATTTTTTAAAAGCCTTTCTCAAAAAGCATTTTTACTGTACTGGAAGATTAAGTTGATTTGATTAGTTACATCTTTTTTTATAATACACTTAACAGTATAGGGTGGTATGTTTAAAAAAATGGTTAGAACCCACCTCTTAGCTTGAGCATGGTGTGTTTGTCTTTGTAGCTCTTCAAGACAAATTGACTGTTGATGAATTTCCTGATGCTCCTAATGGTAAAAGTCACCTGGAAGACAGAGACAGAGGCTGCACAATACTGGTTTTATTTTACTATTTAGCTTAAAGTTGTAATTTTCAATTCAATTCAGTTCTATTTATGTAGTGCTACTTTTCATGTAGAGCACATATAGACCATACTCCTTATAAAGCAATTCAATGTATTTACATATAAAAATTACCTCTCTATATAGTATTTTAATTGATAGTGGCTGGACGGAAGTCTGCCATTCCCACACTTAAGGGATTAAAAAAAAAGTGCACACATGATTATTTTAAGAGATTGCAGACAAATTCCCCCAGATTGGAGGCACATTTTTTATATGTAATATTTCTTTAAAGGAGATTGGTACATTTTAGTTGAATTCAGACTGATAATATGCATAATTTATTTAACGTTTTGTCACCACTACGGATACACGAAGTAACTGCTAAAGTACAATTATGTTGTCTTACATTAACTGCTGTTAGCTATTAATTTGATTAATGATTTAATGTGTGTATTGTTTACTGACAGTGGCTGATCAGGCAAATTATGAGCTTATTTTACTCCTATGGCAGTATGCTGTAAATGGCTGCCATTTGTGCGTGTTTTTGAACTACTATTTAAACATGTGCTTGTTAATAATGGTGTTATTAATTACTTAACATAGTTTGGAGACCAGTCAGACTCCTTGTGAAGATATTGTAGTATGTGACCCCCTGTTGTTGATCAGTCATGTAGTGTGAAAACATCTTCAAGACTCCTGATTACAAGACTGAAAGTTGTGTAGTGTGAATAGTACAGAGATCTGACGACTTTGAAACTCATGTAGTGTGACCAAGGTGTTACTGTACTCACTGTGTTTTCCTCTGCTGATTGTGATATACTCTGCTACATTTTACACAATCTCACAAGTAGTACATTTTTGAACTCTTGGACCTGTGACTGTATTTTACCTGTGGGTGTATAATGGTGAAGTATTGGTCCAATTTAGCATCTCTGGCCTGAAGACCTGGAACAAACTTTTGTATGTTCACACCTGTCTGCTTTACTTTCAGCTGAGAGACAGGACAGAGACGAGAAACAAAAGAAAGACAGATAGGTGGTGGAAACACAAGGTATCAGGATTCTACAGGATGAGGTTGAACAAAAACAAATATTTTCAGTGTGTCAATTAATTTGATTTAAAAAGATATACTCATGGAGTATATTTTACTTTAAAAGTGGTTTAATTGACAGATATTGTATATATTAATTTAAGAAATGCACAATAAAACCAAGCTGAATGGGAGATGATACACCTGGACTCATGTCATTATTTTATGTAATTTCATAATGCAAGCTCTGATTGATTTCAAATTTGGTGTGGAGGTGGGTTCCTCTACATGTGACATAACCAAACTTCCGGTTTTTGTGAAATAGCACAGACTAGGACAGATCTTTCTGTTGGGAAACGTCCAAAATGCACAGGTCTCTTGACATGAAATATGCCTCTTTGTTTCCTTTCAAGTAGAGCTGGGCGATAAACTAATTGAATTGCTTAATTGGAATATACGGTTAAAAACTATACAAAAATAGCTAAATCATAAAATTGATATTTAAAATATGTGGGGGCTGCAAAGGACCGTAAAAGAAGCCCCAACCCACTGAAGTCACTGAACCCACTCATCTACAAAGAACATGTAGAATTATTTTTCAATAGTATCCATATGAGAAGAGGGGGCCCAGTAATAAGAAATTAGAGATGCACTGGAGTTTCACATTACCAAAGATATGGTGATTTTGTTTGTTTTTAAGAAAATTGTAAAGCGGGTGTGGTGTGAAAAAGAAGAGCCATGCTATCAATGGCAAATCTTGAAAAAGTTAGGCTACGGCAGATACACAAACTACCAAATTCAGAGGAACCATCTGCGTACATCATTGATGGCATGGCTCTTCTGCAGGATCTTAAGACTAAGACTTTCGTACATGCAACAACATAGGGAAGAACATCTTAAGGCTTTACAGGAAAGTTCAACTGTATGGTTATAGTCTCCAAAAAGAGGCACAGCTCAAGTCAAGTGACCTACATATGTTATTACAAATGCTATAACCAAATGTTCATAACTACAGTAAATATATCTGTAGTGCAATGGTAACAAAGGCTGTACTATGTAGCTTTGTCAAAAGCTATGGATACAAGACCATCAAAGAAGACTGTTATTTATGCAAGAGACTTTGAAAATGGTTAGGTGGTCAAGATGATCTGCCAGTCAGGGGGGTAGAAAGCTTAGTGGACCCATAGAGTAACCAGGATGAGGTTGATATGAGATTGGTGTTGCATGCAATACACCTTGAACATTCTCGTATAATCATCAGATGAGATGACAAATGTAATTGTTCTGCTTACTATGCAAGCACAGGGATGTTTGCATCTTCATCATCACCAAGGAAAAGATCTGTCCCAATCTGTGCTTGGAGTTCAATTGTGATTAAGGTAAGATAAGATATTCCTTTATTGATCCCCCTTAGGATAAATTCAAGATTGACACAGCAGCATAGGGCAATGTAATTTTCTACCTTGCATGCAATGCCCTTTGTATTGAGGTCATCCAAAAGTAACAAAGTAATCAATTTACATTATTTTAATATTGTGATAGTTAGGTTATTGTCTGCATTTTTAAACAGGTAATTAGTAATTGTATCGGATTTTGGGATGCTGGATAAGGATTATTTTATGATATTTATGATAACTGATATTTACCTGCCTCTCATGGCCAATACCACTAAGATAACCACTCATTTCACATTTTTGTATTTTATTTTTTAAGTTCATAACCTGTAGTTTTTACACACTTAATAGAAAGAAAGGCAGAGCTGTAGTGAGCAAAGATAGATGATTTAATATTCCATACCTCTGATCTAACCAAATCTAAATGACATTACTATTGTTAACACAAACAACACCAAACAACAGTTCTGTCTCTTTAAAGGTAGGGTAGGCAATCCTGTTCAGAAGCACGTTTTGTTATACTGGGTGAAATGGTCCCTCTGTTGTCAGAGGAATCAATTCGTTATGTCTTCAGAAAAAAGAACGGAGAAAATCAGAGCTCTCTGTCAGCTGCAGGACTGAGAAAAAACTTCGACCAATCCGTGCCCCTTCGGTCCGAAGAGCAACAAACCAATCAGATGCCTTCATGTCTAAGCCCTGCCACTTCCCGCCCCCCTCGGTCCCTGCTTGCTGCGCGCGCACATGTTTAGCTGTTGCGGAAACAGCCACAACTTGTCTGCAGAACGCAGAGTTCCCAGGAACGACAGGTTCATTGTAAAATTCTGAGCAAAATAAAACTGAGAAAGTTACCGGGCTTCCACGGTTACTTGTAACGGCTTTGGCCCCGAGAAAAAGGCCAAGAAAAGAAAGCCGGAGGATGGATAAAGCCAGCTAACAAAAAGGCTCTGATAAAGACAAGAGGTCCCAAACCAAGAGTCAACATCAGTGTAGCTTTTGAGCGGTTGGAGACAAACTGAGGGATCAGAAGTGACTGAAAAGTGATGCAGAGGGTGCTCTCTTTCTGCTGACAGGTAATTTATTTCTTTGGGGATGATTTTGTTATTTCCATTAAATATGTAACTTAGCTAACGTTTGTAGCTTGTATTTAGCGTAATGCTAAATATTATCTTCTCTGTGAGTTTAAAACGGGTCGTGACGCTTAGTATTGAAAAAGGTTATAGTAGGGCCTATATTGAAATTAAAAGATAATTTCAATATATGGAGATATTACTCTACCCATAGTCGTCAGGTGTGTGCATTGATTATTGTTGATAAAAATACGGTATATATTGGCTTTTAGTGATTTAAGGGGTAGCTTAACGTTAACGTGCCAGTTTGTGGGGGCGTGGCTTGTTGACCGACACCACTGACGGGAGGGTTGGGGGGGACGAGGGGGGAACCATGAGGCCAAATCAAGAGGGAAGGGGCAGGAGCGGAAGCTATTCTCCAAACCCTTGCTAGCGTTCTCGCTATGCTTTCCAAGATTACCAACCGCAGCTTTAAGTGTTCATTCTTCTTTCTTCTTTTCTTTCTTTTTTTTAGTAAAGTTCATAAAAAAAGAACTTCTATAATGTAACGATAGTAATTAAGTTATCCTGATCATTCAGAATAATATAAATATCTGATTTTCAAGTTTTATTTTGAAAAGTCCTGGTGGGTGTAAAGTTGTTGTAATTTAACATCAGACCTGCTGATTCTGGCATTCATCATAGATCCTGAAATTGGATTTCCGCCTATTATACTTTTTTTTTCCAGACATGTAACCCCCCCTGCCAATTTCCACACTAAATTGGAAATCAATCAGAATTATGAAATTACATGAGTTTAGGTGCATCATCTCCCATTTGGCCTGGCTTTATTTTGCACTTTTCATGGGGTGTGTCATTTTATATATGGGAGACCTTGGAGGATATAAAAAATGTTGTGCTTTGTTCTACCTCTGGTCCGGGTAATTTGAAATTTTGGGTGCCTTCCCAATAGACTAATTCTGTTATTTAAGTATCAGGATGTGCTGACTACAGCACATAGACATGGAGCCTTACATCTTCATCAAAGACAATATGGAAGGGAAAAGCATTGCAGAAAGCTTTCTCTTCCATCCATAGGTTGTTCGGGTAACATGGACTGAACGTGCACTGGAGGCTGCCTGGAAAGTAAATCAAACACACCCATTCCATCAGTGTTAGAGAAGCAACCCTTAAACAGTTATCTAATGTTACCTAACAGAATTATCACAGGCTGCGTGGTATTTTGATTGTGCTACTGTGTATGTTCTTCAGCAGACTAATTTTCGGATATAGTTTAGAGCTGTTTTGCCAACATTTTAGTTGTTGTACATTAGGATTGGGCGATTGGATGAATATATCTGCTTTTTCTGGATTTTGTTGTCAATTTTTAATTTTTATTTTGCTAATTTAATGGTCTGCCTCCGAAGAATGAGAGCCAAATTGCTTTTCTCTGCCTCATCTCTCAACTATCTCTTACTGATGGACATATAGTTTTATTTATTTCTAAATAGCTAACTACTAACTGCTGCTTATTGCTAACAGACTGGGAGTTCGAGGCACCAGTGCTCCTGGCGATCATGTGCCATAAATGTAACATTAAACACTGACGCTCACTCAGTGCTCAGATCTTCCAGCCTGAAAGTTTAAGCAGAGCTGCCAGAGAACATTAGAGGGAAGAACAGAAAATATTTTATCCATAAAATATAATACAGTTTCACCAGCATCAGTGAATAAAGTTCTAAGTTGTTTGCTTTTGCACAGGAATCCGTCAGATAAACATTCATGAGCCAGTGATACCTCTCTCCGAAGTTAAAAAAATGTATCCGCAAAGAACTTCTGTGCAGTGTCTCTACATCAAAGGTTGATTTATAACATCAGTGAGTACAATTTTTCAAAAGCATAAATTCTATGTATAACTTAAAGTTAACTATAAGGTTAACCTTTTTCTGAGAGAACCACAGCCCTGAGCAGGTCCCAGCCATGCTTTTTCCCAGCTAGTGACAAACATCTGTCCCTCATTGTTCTCAGTAATGACTCCTGGGGAAAATCACACAGCACAAGTCGGCCAAGAATCAGAAACACACATAATATATACATATAGAAACAACCAATACACAGACACCCAGACACCCACCCATCTATGACTGGAATTGTGCTGGTCTCTGGTCTTGCCAGCTTGGTTGGTCTGTTTGACCAGGAACACAACATGCTCCTTCTTCCCTGTCCGCTCATCTTCCTCCGATTGATTGAGAACCACCATGGTCACTTTGCTATCAAAAAACTCTCTGGCAACCGCCTCCATGATACCTGTAGCAAGATGGAAAAATGGGCAAAAGAAAGGAAAAACAGTCATGAATGAGCAGTGGATCTCAAATCGTGAGAGATCAGTGTGTGGTCAGTGATTTAATAGCTGCCAATTATCTGACATGTTTATGCATCTGCACAAAAGGGAATATGCACAGGTTTTGACATTTCACATGGCTGTGTAAAAGCCTGCTGCTACAACCCTTGCAATAATGCAATAGAGGGAAGGAGCAACTAGGAGGCCGATTATCACATTGAGACTACAAAGACTCACAACACAGGTAACACTTTTGCCTTCAGATTATATTGGACAACAAATCATAAAAACTATATAAGGTATATATGTTATTGTACAATGATAGGTATCTTTGTACACATAACATTATGAGCCATTTATACCCTGTTGAACAATAACCTGTATAAGGAACAAAAGTTTTAGGCTGTTCAATGTGATGTATAAAGGAGTGTTTTATTTTCAAATGCGCATCTTTTGAAAACTAGACAAAGAGCAAGTGGCATGTGGCACAAATTTGAAACGTGATCTGCGAATTGCAGCAAGAGATAATTTCGTCTCCTGTTTATTTTAACATTATTTACTAATCAAAACAAACTCCATATTTGTTACCCATGGAAGGTCATGCAGGAGCCTTGTACTCAACAAATTTATCTGCAAACAATCACTTTTGAAATGTGACATTACCTCTTTTTGCAATGAGTGTGTAAACGTGCTTGCAAATTGCAGTAGAAACACTTGCAGCTCTCTTTTTATGCTCTTTTTTTGGCAAGGTGTTCTTTCCATTTGACACACAATGTACACAGTGATGATGAGCCACGACATCTGCTTTTGTTTAAGTTTCCACTTTTGGTTAGTTTAAATAAACCACAATTCATTATCCTATTCCTCTACTTGAAACGACTCACTCTCACACACAAACTCAACATGCCAATAGACTTCTGAGATAGGTTCATATGCTTGGCAATACTGCAATGTTTGCTCTAAACAAACCCAGCAGAAACAGTAGTTTGGTGGCCAGACACAGATGTAGAAGCAGTAGGTAACCACTTCTAAATCTCAAGATCTGATACAGAGATGCGTTTTTTTGTCCTGTTTTGTTTTTTAATTCATTTTTGCTGTGATACCCAGAGCTCTTTCACCAGAGAAGAGCTTATAAACATCAGGGGAACAACTCCAGTGGATTTATTTCCCACTTCACTTTACTCCTATCATCTGTGGAATTACAGTTAGTACAGTTAGTCATGGAGTTCCACA